TAAAGATCTCATCAATTAAGGAATGCCCGGACACCAAACTAATCCTTAATTAATGGTTTTAAAAAATGAGTTCATGGAGTCGCCACCAATGTTTTACTCAAAACATTGGAAAAAGAAAAGATTTTTAAAAGATCCAATAATGGCCTTGATAACCAGAATTGGGTTCGGGGGTCGGTTACGTGTAAGGAAGGTATTAAGCACCCTTACAACGCCCTAAATCGGTACCCTATGATGAAGTTAATGCGATAAGAAATAATAAATTAAATATTATATCCCCTTTTATTGATGATTATTTACATGATTTAAAATTTAAATTAACAATTGACTCTAAAATATCTACATGATTGCGTTTATGCTAGCAATAATTAAAATAAAGGAAGAGAAAAATAGAACAAGGGATTGATGAATAATACCTCGTAACAAGCTTTATTAGATCTTCCAATATTGAAATTGTAGGTGCTTTATGGCAACCTTTCACACTACACAAATGCCTCACAATACTCAAGAAGTACAATAGGAGAGAGAGAGAGCAAACATATTTTTAAGTATTTTTTCTTTGATAATGGCTTCTAATTGCTTTGAAAAAATTATTAAAAATTAGTTAAATTCCACTTTTTTCCCTCTATTTCTGTCAATTAATAATTGTTGTGCACCTATTTTAAAATATAAACATTTAATTCTTCTATTTTTAAAATGTGAAATTTTGGTTCTACTACCAATTTAATGTTGGTTGATTATTAAATTTTGACGTTGTTGGATGATTTGTCCCCACTTAAATAACATGATATTTAGTTATGTGAGATATAAGAATAAAATGTTAAAAATATAAAAGATCTTCATTTGTAACTATTTTTACGAGTAATTGATATTTATTTTATTAATAAAAAATTTACTTATATTTTTTTAACTTTTTTTATTTAAATGTTATTTTATTAAATGTCATATCACTTAAGTGTAAATAAATATTAAAATTTAATAATTAGTAATACTAATTTAATAAAGGGTCTAAAATCTCATATTTTTAAATTAAAGAACTAAATATCTCTATTTTAAAATAAAGATAAAAATTATAATTTAACCTTAAAAAATTCTTTTGTTAACGAGATTGAAGACCATTGTTCAAGTAAATTTCACACACTCACAAATCATATAATATATATGAATTAAATTTATAGAAGAATATTTAAATTAAATGTCCCAGAAAAAAGAGAAGAATATTTAAATAAATTTCATATTCACCCAAATAATACAATGATTACGAAAGAAATGCATAGAATGTGGTTAGAGACAGATGTTTACCTTGAAATTTATTGACTTTCGCCAATAAAACTCTTTCCTAGATTTTTCTTGCAATGCCAATAATAAATATGACTAAAAGGAATAAAAATCTGTGCTAATAACGTGTTATAAAAATTTAAAAGAGAAACAGAATTCCTTGTATATTCATCTTTCTATAAATGAAATTATTTATTTATAAGTGTAAATTGTAATTGAATAATTACAAATAATTTAATAATACTTAAGAAAAATATAAATAGTCATTATCAACTTCCACTAATAATAATTTATAACAAATACATGTAAAAATGTAAAAAATATTGTGTGAAAGGAAGGATATATGTTATTTGTACAATGATTATGCAGTATTATTTTCTATGCATCTTTCTATTTATTTTAAAACCTTGATGAAGAATTTATTTTACTAGAGTCGGATTACTGGTTAGAGACCAAAAAATTAGAAAACTATGCACAAAGTTTATAGTTGTTAGTAGTTTTAATGAATAAAAAGAATACCATGTTTAAATGGTTGAAGAATAATTTAGCTTTTTTTTTATAGAAATTCTATGGTACCCATCTTATTTGAGAGGGTACTGATACAGTCTTTTATATTTTATATTTTTAATAATTTATTTAAATAATATTTATGATATTTTATTCTTTCAATTTTTAAATTATTTAATCATTTTATTTTTATTTTATATATTCTAATTTATTTGTAATAATATTATTATATATTTAAATAGTTTAATTTTAATAATTTTTTAAGTATATTTTTATCTTTTCACTTAAAATTTTTGAATTTCTATATTTTAATTTTAATAATTTTTTAAGTATATTTTTTGTCTT